AGTTACCGTTGTCAAAGACAGTTATGCTGATTTAATCATCCTTGATGCTGTATACACCTGGTCGGATTTTATGGTCACCTTGGCTTTGTTATCTTCATCTCCACATAGATGGAAGACATTTGTGGCTAACAGAGTATGTCATGTATAAGAGCTTATTCCAGTATCGGCTTGGCGGTATATTCCTTCAGCTCTGAACCCTGCAAATTGTGCAAGTCGTGGACAAACGCCGGCTCAACTTTTTGTCACAAATATATGGTGGCGAGGTCCAGAATTCTTAGCCCTATCAAAAGATAACTGGCCTGTGCAGCCTAATCTCCATTTACAACCTAATTCTGACATATATCTGGAAGAAAATAAAACAATTTTAAATATATCAGTTTCTTTGGAAAATTTTATTTCCTCATTATTATCTAATTTTTCATCCCTTCCAAAAATTCAAAGAATTTGTGTGTATATTTTCTGGTTTATTAATAATGTAAAATTGAAAATAAAGGTGACAGGTCCTTTAACCCCTGTAGAGATTGATCAGGCACTTACTAGGATCATCAAATATGTTCAGTTACAATCCTTTGCTGATGTCTTTTCTAAAATTACCCAAAATATCTTACTTCCTAAACCAGTTCGTAAATAAGCTCCATTCATTGATAGTGAAGGTCTTCTTTGAGTTGGTGGAAAGCTTAGAAAGTCAAAATTGGACTACGACGACAAGCATCCCCTACTTCTGCCCAAATCGCACTCGTTAATCTACTTTATTATTGGGTTAACACACTCATGAAATCTTTATCCAGGATTAAAAATTCTTCACTACTTGCTACTACAAAAATACTGGATCATATCTCCAAGTGCTATTTATAAATGTCTTTCACAATGCCTCCGTTGCTTTAAATGTGAACCTAAGTCGTACAATCCTTATATGGCGGACTTACCAGCCCTCCGTTGTTCTCAAATCAAGGCATTCTCTTCAGTTTGTGTAGATTTTGCTGGACCCTTTCTTCTCATGCTAAGTAGGCATCGAGGTGCTAAAACATTTAAAGGCTACGTTTGTGTATTTGTTTGTACTGCCACACAGGCTATTCATTTAGAATTGACCTCAGATTTAACTACCAATACCTTCATAGCAGCTTTCAGACGTTTTATTTCCTGACGAGGAAATTGCGTGACTATAACCAGTGATCAAGGTACCAATTTTAAAGGTGCTCAACGACAACTCGTTGAGTTGGCACAAAACGCCGCTGTTGTTTTTTTCTTGAAACTTCAATCCACCCGGTTCTTCTCTTCTTAATGGTTTAGCTGAGGCTGGAGTGGAATCATTTAAAAATAATTTTTATCGTGTTGTGGGTACTCAGATTTTATCCTATGAAGAATTTTACACTTTTTCAACCCAGGTGGAAGCTTTCTTAAACTCATGTCCCTTGTGTAGTATCAGTGCAGATCCAAATGATCCACAACCCCTTACTCCGGGGCATTTTTTAGTCTTTGAACCTTTAGTAAACCCAGTCGCTAACCCAGATTTGAGTTACTTGAAATTAAGTAGATTGAGTGGTTGGCAACTCATTCAGCGACTCTAGCGATTTTTGGAAACGTTGGTCGCAAGAATATATACATCCTTTGTAAGAAAGACACAAGTGGTTGGATCAGTCTCCTCCTTAAACTAAGAGCCCTTGTTCTAATAACAAATTAACAACTCCACCCACTACACTGGGAGATGGGTCGAGTTATTGATATACGTCCAGGACAGTCGTTACTCTGAAAATTGCTAAAGGTGTTATGCAAAGACCTGTGGTCAAGATTTGCCCTTTGCCGGGAACCTAATTTTTTTTTGTAACACGTTAGCTGCCACAATACAAACTTTTTCTCCACAACTAAAAATTGTATATTTATGCTTCAAAAATCATAAAAATAATGGCACAATATTCATTACTTGTCAATACCTGTCAAAAATCGTGTTTTTGACAGTGAATCAAGTGTGATTCACGTGGCCTGGCAGAAAAAAAAAATTCATAGCAGGCCGTGTGAATCATCCGTGATTCACACAATCATCCGTGATTCACACAATCATCCGTGATTCACACAAACATAACCTGTCTATTCTCGTTCTAACCGTAATTTTGTGCCGTCTACTGTGTGCCTTGTTTCTCTAAAGCACATTTTTGTGTAATAGAATAGTGTTATTCTTATAATCATTATTCGTATTTGATGTAATGCATTTGTGTTTCTTAGTTTCTAATGCTTGCATAATAATTGAATAAATAACTTGCACCACTATTTATTTTTTCGTTCTCAATTAAATGCGTCTACCATAACTTTTGTTTTGAATCAATAAAAATTAAAAACTTTGCATTTAACGTGCGATAAAAAAAAAACAAATCTTACGTAGGCTAACTACGTAATTTTATTCACCAGGCCACGCTTTTTCAACTACCATGTATTTATATGGCCACTGTGCATCGTCGATGAGATACACATAAAAATGCAATAGTCTCCACATGAATCACAGATGATTCACGTAGCTTGAATGAATATGTTACCTGTGAATCACGCATGATTCACGTGGCAGCTAACGTGTATATCTATTCACTTTTAGTTTCTTTTTTTTTTTTTTTAAGTTTAGGTTTGTTTTTTTATAAGTATCGTTACTAAACCTTTTCTCATCCTGTTGTAAAAACATGCGTTTTGGTGGGGTGGATGTTTAAGAGACTCTTAAGACTTTTTGGCCTATTTTAGTAATATAATAATGTGTAGAGCAATCTACAGAATTTGATCGTGCCTATTTTTTGTTACCGATATACGTTTATCATATGCGCACACGTCACTTGTTAGGTAGCTGCATTTTTATGCTCCCTTATCCGAGATCAAAAATAATTCATTCTCGGCCGAAGAGTAGACAAATAGACTGGCTACGCGTAATAATATTGTGTATTGTGTCATATCGGACGGTTCGACTATACTACAGCGAAACTGCCCTCATTTTCAATTAATTGAACAAACTTTTTCAAGACAAGATCCTCTTCATTTTGGACCAGTACCCAGAGAACCAACAGAAGGAAGTAATCTGTGTGTACCGCATTTCAAAATTTTCTTTTTTTTTAAATCATACAGTCCCCACTCTTATTCATATTTTCCATAGTTGTTTTTTTTTTTTTTAATTTTACCACTAGTACTGAGCAGAGCAAGTTATGATCAGAGTGCACGTCAGATCCAGGATAGGTTTTCGCTGACTTATTGCAATTCCGGAATCGCTACAATACATTATATAAAGTTCCAAACACATTTATTCCAGTTGCCCATTATAAGTTTTCTTGTTCTATACCTCTTACTATAACAAACATTCTATCATCTCGGCTTAATTTAACTTGTAGTTATATTATCAATAGTAATATAACTAGTGCAATGGAAATTATTGATAATTTTTGGGAAATCTGCCCGAATGCATTTCTAGTTGAAAAAGAGCACGAGTGCACATAGTGCACGAGTGCCTTTTTTAGTTAAAAACGCACGAGTGCAAATTTGTCGAAAATTATAAATATATTTCCATTGCACGAGTTGTATTTAATGAGAGAATTTCATAAATCAAAAATTTTTTGTCAAAAAATGTCAAAACAGGCTCAGTAGACCTGGCCCCCCCCAGTTGATAATTTTTATCCAAAACGCTAGCCCTCGTTCTCCAGAGCTAGCGCAACCTAGCGCAACTTTTTCGAAAGCTAGGTCAAAAGATATGTGGCTTTATATTAGGGGGGGGCTAGGGTGACGCTAGCCCCCCCCAGTTATTCGATCTTCTCAAAAATGCTGGCGAACATTCGTAACACCTAGCGCAAATTTTGTCATAGCTAGCGCAGCTATCGTAGCTGTCATACAGGGTGGACAAAAAAAATCATGAGCCCCTACAAGTGATTTTTAATTTTTCAAAAATATATATGAAGCTTCCTTAAAGCTAGCGCAGGCTCGCGCAGGTAAAATTCGAGCAACCGCATCACCCCTTTAAAACATATACAGGTATTTTATTCGGGGGGGGGGGGGGGCTAGATCAACGCTAGCCCCCTCCAGTTGTTAAATCCTTTTCAAAAGGCTAGCGCAAGTTCGTGACACCTAGCGCAAGTTGTGTCATAGCTAGCGCAGCTATCGTAGCTGTCATACAGGGTGGACAAGAAAAATCATGAGCCCCTTGTCACTTGTAGGGGCTCATGATTTTTTTGTCCACCCTGTATGACAGCTACGATAGCGGCGCTAGCTATGACACAACTTGCGCTAGGCTGCGCTAGGTGTCACGAATTTGCGCTAGCCTTTTGAATAGGATTTAACAACTAGGGGGGGCTAGCGTCGATCTAGCCCCCCCCCGAATAGATACCTGTATATGTTTTGAAGGGGTAATGCGGTTGCTCGAATTTTACCTGCGCTAGCCTGCGCTAGCTTTAAGGAAGATTCATATATATTTTTGAAAACTTAAAAATCACTTGTAGGGGCTCATGATTTTTTTTGTTCACCCTGTATGACAGCTACGATAGCTGCGCTAGCTATGACACAACTTGCGCTAGGTGTTACGAATGTGCGCCAGCATTTTTGAGAAGATCGAATAACTGGGGGGGGCTAGCGTCACCCTAGCCCCCCCCCCCGAATATAAAGCCACATATCTTTTGACCTGTAGCTGCGCTAGCTTTCGAAAAAGTTGCGCTAGCTCTGGAGAATGAGGGCTAGCGTTTTGGATAAAAATTATCAACGGGGGGGGGGCAGGTCTACTGAGCCGTCAAAACACCAGTTTTCGCACCAGTTAGTATGCAATTATCTGATAATTTGCACTAGTGCAAATTATCGCGTAATTACAATCTGATTGGTTCAAATCAACAATCAAAACATGTCAATTTATTGTTGGAATACCAGTTTTGACAGATGTATCTATTAATTATTATTACTTTTTTTTATACCTAGTCATTATTATTGGTTAGGTACTAGTAGTTAGGACAAACTTACTCTCTATGTGAATAGATAATTGAATAACCACTTACTGCTTATTATTTTTTCTACCAACTCCATTCACTGCTGCAGTTTTAGGTTCCTCATTGCTTTTAGTCTTTTTGGTTGTTATGTTTAGAGACTCCGCGCCAACACCGCCGCCTCTTTTCCTGCCATTTATCAGCCTCCTGGGTGCAACTGGAGTGATTCTTCTCGCTTCAACGTGCTCAACAAAAATCACTTTGTCCGGGTCATCCTCGAAAGCTTGCGAATCGGCGTCCAACGAGTTTGTGAATTTCTCAATTTCTTCTTCTTGCTGTTTTTGACGTTCTGTTTGTTCTTTGGCCGCGTTCAGGATGGCATTCGTTCTGCCACCGACACGTTTTGGGGAGCTAGTGTCTTTAAATAACGACGATCTTTTCATTATTTCTTCGATCGGGGGCATTTTCTTACGGGTGGTGCTTGATTTCATGATCGGGATTGGAGCTTCATAATTATCTAGTTCGTCTGGAACAAAAAAAAAATTCAAAGGTGTCGCGCATTTATTGCACATTATACAGCGACTTCGGTTACTGTTGGCAAGTCTTGAGAAATACAAAATTGAGAATATTGGCATTGGTGTTATGTTTTTTGTTATTGTGTAACAAATGGTTTTAGACCGTAATGTGTTTATAGTTATGGAGGTGAATCTTGAAAACCCTTCAGAAATAATAATTGTTCAGGTCTGTAAGTAGGGTTTCATCGAGACGAGAAATCTCGTCTCGAAGGAAATTTCTCGTCTCGTCTCGATCATCGAGACGAGAAATCAACAAAATCTCGTTTCGATGTTTTTCTCGAAGACAATTTCTCGATCTCGATTTGAGATTCTCGAAATTTTGAGTCTCGAAAACAAAAACTGAATGTTATTAAAATATATTAAATGTATATAACATAACATGTCTGCACTAAAAGAAAGGGGAAAATGTTTTCTAGAAAGACTAGCTGTTTTCAAGAGCAACACTGACCATTAGAACGAAGCCGATTAACTGGAGAATCGGCTCAATTTCCAATGTGTTTGAATTCTTTGGCTATGTAACGAAGAAGATAATATTTACGAGTGTATAAACAATAATTCCCTTGACAATGGTTTAACAACTGAAACGCGTCGAGATTAATAGAAATATACAATTTGTGAAGTTGAAAAAAGGACTTTCATTTTTCATTTTGCTCTGAATAATTTCGTTATCAGTTAAGAAACTTTTTTTATATTGGAACATGGTATGCTATCTATATTTTTCTTAGGTTTTGTTAGTTTTTGGGTGTTTGAAGTTAATTTTTGTTTAATAAATTACTCAACAATAGGTTCGTTCCAAGCATAAATTTGAGTGTTTCAAGGGTCTTTTTTTCTTTAAGAATATGGAAATATCAATTTTTTGCTTTTGTTATTTGCTTTGTTATCTTTGTTTTTTTTTATGTTTTGTTGATTTTCTTATATTTAAAATGAATTAAAATTATTTCGTATTCCCTAACATAGTCTTTTATTTTCGCTTTTCTGACCTATTCAGAGTTGTCTGTGCTTTAGGTATTGCAGCACCTACATTTTTTCGAGATCGAGAAATCTCGAAAAAATTTCTCGATCTCGAAAAATCTCGCACTGTTTTTCTCGATCTCGTCTCGAACAAAAAAGTTCAGTCTCGTCTCGATTTCGTCTCGATTTCGTCGAGACGAGACGAGACAAGAAATCTCGAATTTCGAGAATCTCGTGAAACCCTATCTGTAAGCAAACAATCTAGCTTCCACACTGCATATCAAATTGTTTGACAAAATAACCTGGTTGTTTGGGACTTACGTTTTATCGTATTGTAATTTTGGGTAATTTAAACGCACTTGTATAATATATGTCTTAAATTTGCAGTGTAAATTTCAATTATTAATTGCGCGTGAGAATGGCATTCCCATGGACTTTCGCGCGGTACCGTAAAAGAGAGCAAGAATGCGCTCTTGATTAAAGGAGGACAGAGATTGAGTAGCCAAAAAATATGTGCTGTCGCTGTCCGGAAGGAGAGAACGATTTTTGCCGGCAATCAAACCAGAACCAATTATTTTAGTGCCTAAAACCCACGCAGTTTCGGGGTAAGTCCTTTATTGGTTTTGCCATTTATCGATTTTTGATTACTTTTAAAAATACAGTCCACTGACTAGCTCGTACATTTGGTACCTTCGGCCGAATTATCGGTTACCTTTTTTCATATACAAGTTGCGTAAAAATTAATTTTAATTAATTACATTGGTACCACAGTTTTTTGAGTACCTATTTGTACCTATTTATTATTACACATTCATTTTAACATTTTTTAATATGAAATTCATTAAATTTATTGATGTTTAAATAATATTTATTATTAAGTTATTATTTAGCATTGGGTTGAATGCCGGTAAATATAAAGTTATTTTCACTAACATTCCACAGTTGACTCTGCTACGTTGATTGTTACGCCTCAGTCGCCAAAGCCGTTTCTCAAAGTTTCCTAAGGAAATCATATGACAAAAAACTCATTTAGCCCCAACAAATTGCCATACAAGACTTCTCGTTCAGGTCCTTCTACCTTTCTTCTCCAAGGCAGTTCCCCTGAGCCTAAAAGTTGCCATAGCTGCAACGAAAATCATGATTTGGAACAATGTTCACAATTTTTGAAGAAAACTCCAAATCAAAGGTTCACTTTGCTGAAACACAAGAATGTCTGTGTAAATTGTTTTGGCCCCCATTCTGCGCGCCAGTGTACAGATCCCAATTGTTGTTCCATTTGTAGGAAGAAACATCATTCACTTTTACATTTCAACAATGAGTCTCCACCAAATAAGAATAATTTATCTTCCTCAGCCAAGTCACAAACCACATCAATGCCGTCGGAACCTACACCTGATGAAAACATTGACTTTCTTCAGGTTAAAACATTTACTAGTGTTACATCGTCTCCCTCTGTAGTTTTTTTGTCAACAGCTAAGGTGGCAGTACTTGACAGTCGGGGTGTCTTGCAGACTGTTAGAGTTTTGCTAGATAGTGGAAGTCAATCCAGCTTTATCACGGATACGTGCCTTATGCGATTAGGCTTACCTCATAGAAAATCACACCTCCCTATTTATGGTTTAGGTGAAATTTCCACAAGTTCTTCAGGATTAGTCTCTTGTATCATTATATCCTATTGGCGACCCTTCATCTACGTTTAATGTTGAGGTTGTGGCAGTTCCCAAAATTTGTTCTCATCTTCCAGAGCAACCCATTTCACTTGAAAACTTTTCACATTTAGCAAATTTAAAGTTGGCTGATGAGAAATTTAATCAACCTGCTGCGATTGATATGTTGCTTGGGGCAGACCTGTTTCCTTTGTTGCTGTATGAAGGGCGAATTGAGGGTGGCCCCGGGAAGCCAGTCGCACTTAATACCATACTTGGTTGGGTTATTATGGGAAAAACTGATACTCACCATACTGGTGTTCGTACATTTCTTACTACCAGTGAGTCACCCTTGGATGTGGCTATAAGAAAGTTCTGGGAAATTGAGGAAATTCCAGCTGAAATTTTGCCTTCAGACGAAGATATTTTATGTGAAAAAATATATACTGAGACGAGGGGGCGACCACTCCCGAAAAATATATACAGGTTTTGTGGAAATCCTATGATTTCGAAGAATTTTTCTAAAAATTTGCGATTTCGGAGGATTGCGAGGCGATTTCAGTGACTGCAGAGACTGCAGGGGGAATTGCGAACTAATTTTTGAGATTGCGAGGTGATTTTTGGGATTGCAAGGTGATTTCTGGGGATTATAAATATGATTGCGGAACATAATTCATTCGATTTTTTGACTATCTTTTGAATTTTTTGAAAAATTTTAATTGCAGTTTTTCATTCATAAGTTTATAGATAGGTATCTACAGGGTGACCCATTTTCCATGTTTTAATAGGCTATATCGAAAACCAGCAGAGCAGAGATATCAAAAATGTGGGAGTACATTCTAGATCTCTTTTTTGAGAAAATAACAATGGCGAGGACAAATCACAGCTAACTTGATGTGTTTACGAAATACATCAGGGCACTTTTCAAAGTTTGTCCAATTTCAAGAGCTTCTAATTTTTTCATTAATCAAGATATCCAAAAACCAAAAATACCTACTTTCTTCAAGCATGTTCATAAGTAGAATCCAGTGGCATGACTATTTTTTTTTTCAGATGCCTCTGATTTTGGAATATTAACCAGTTGTGTTTTTTAAATAGGACACCCCGTATATTATTTTTTCATTGCATAGCTTTTTTTGAGCTGATTTCAATGATATAAGGTTTTATAGCTTTATCTTTATCTTCATTAGTTTTAGAGGAAAAAAATAAATTCCGTTTCTCCATAAGAAACAATGAGCTAGAAAGAGATAAGTCATGAAATAAATTATGTGTTGCTTATTCATCATTATCACCCCCAATAATTCATAGTTCAAATTGAAAAAAAAAAAACTAAACTTGTTGAATTGTTGAATAAGGGGCTGGTTTCTCAATAGCGAGTCACCCCCGAGTTAAGCATAACTCCAGGGTAAACATTGCAACTGGCCACGCTTACCCTGGAGTTCAAACCAACCCGGAGGTGACTCGCAATTGAGAAACCGGCCCTAAGAATAGAAATTTGTAGCCGATTCATATTTCAACTATCTCTTTCTAATTCATTGCTTCTTACAAAGAAACGGATTTTTTTTTCTCGAAAACTTTCGGAGATAATGCTATAAAACCTTATATCATTGAAATCAGCTCGAAAAGAGCTATGCAATGAAAAAATAATATACGGGGTGTCCATTCAAAAAAATACAACTTAACAACAGGGTTACCTATTATTCCAAAGTCGGTGGCATCTTGAAAAAAAAAACTGGTCATGCCACTAGATTCTACTTCAAAAACAAATTAGCCTTGATTCGTCTTCTCCATTGTTATTTTCTCTAAAAAAAATCTCTGCTGGTTTTCGATATTGCCCATTAAAACATCGGAAATGGGCCACCCTGTACATGTCCAGCTGCCACTTGAAAAACTTGATTCAAGTATCATTTTCCAATGATTCTGAAATACGTCCAATATACCAGATGTCATAAAGAGCTGCATATTTTTCATTGGATAATGAAATCACATTTCCACTTGTTCCACATCCGATCCAGCATTTGATTCTTCAAAAAAAAAAAAAAAATACTGTTGTGTGCTGAATTCAAAAATGGGAGCAACAAAAACCTGATGTCAATTATCAATGTACCTCAAAAACGGGCAAAATCCCGATCAACAGCTGATTTCTTATCCCCACCAGAGCTGATTTTGAGCGATTTCAGAGATTGCAGAGGTGATTGCATAGGATTTCAGCGATCGCGGACAACGATTTCGGGACTGCAAGAAGGATTTCGGATATTGCGAACTGACTGCGGGATTTCAGAATGATTTCGGAGATGATTGCAAGTGACTGGATATTTATTTAGTACAATTTTTTAACTACAAAAAAGAGCACTGCGTTTTATGCTAAAGTTAAAAAGAAGAGATTCTTGTAGGCCCTTTTTTATTAGCCATAAAATCCTAACTTTGACCAGCGTGTTTATCCATGAAACAGCCTGTTTGATTCATAGGAAGTTTAAAAGGGAAATTCAGGCCACTTCAGCTTATACTGTGAGAAATACCCACACCACATCACTTCCGATACCTACTTCCACCTTAACTAAAAAGTCCATAATTTATAATGGTAGGAAAATATTTAATCATCTACCAAAAAGTATAAGAAAAATAGAAGATGAAAGAAAATTTAAAAGAGAAGTGAAAAAATTACTTTTGAACAAAGCTTATTATTCAGAAATCGAATATTTTGACGACTTATTTTAGACTGTAATTTTTTATACATTTATTTTATTTTATTTAAGACCCGCTTTAATTTATGTTTTGACCTCCTGTGTAATTTTAGTATCGTCGTTTTATTATGTATTCTTTGTATTGTCGACTTATCGGTGTTTTTAATATTGTTTTACAAGTCAGCATTATATTATGTTTTAGGTATTTTTTTTTTTAGTTTTTAGTTCTGCTTTGTCAATGAGATGTTTTAATCTTTTTTTTTATGACAATAAAGCTGTTTTTGAATTTGAATTTTGAATTTGAAAAATTTGATTTCAGGCCAAATGTACACGTATTGCGGAAAGTGGTTGTCCCCTCGTACTGAGACAACCTTTATTGAACCAAATGGTAGATATGTTGTTTCAATGCCATTTAAACAAAGTGATCCCCAATTTGTGGATTCCAGAGATGTTGCTCTGCGACAGTTTCGCTCCTTAGAGCAGCGTTTATCAAAAAATCCCCCTTTGTATTCTGCCTATTCGGAATTTATGCAAGATTATTTGGACCGTGGTCATATGTCATTGGATTTATCTAGGATAGGGTCCTCGAGTGGTCAAGAATATTTTATTCCACACTTTTGCATTTTTAAGCCCGATAGTGCCACTACAAAGTTAAGAGTAGTGTTCGATGCTAGTGCTAAAGACGCTACTGGTTTTTCATTGAACGATGCTCTTTTAATTGGCCCTAAGCTTCAGCAAAGCATATTTTCTTTATTGCTAAATTTTCGGTTTCATGACGTAGTGTTTACCTGCGATATTAAGCAGATGTATCGTCAAATTCTAGTGACAGAGGCCCACAGAAGATATCAAAAGATATTGTGGCGTTTTTCACAAAATGACCCTGTTCAAGAGTTTGTGTTAAACACCGTGACGTATGGAGTGTTTTCTTCCCCATTTCTGGCTTTGCGCACTATTGCTCAAATCGCTGAGGATCAGAAAACTAATTACCCTGATGCCTCTCAGGTTTTAAAATCAGATTCCTTTGTTGATGACTTGGTCACTGGGTCGGATTCTATTGCGTCAGCTTTACCCCTACAAGCAGACCTTATTCAATTATTGGGTCGGAATGGGCTGGAAGTACGTAAATGAGCTTCTAATCACCCAGCTATTCTAGAAGCAGTGCCTCCCTCAGACTGTCAGCAACAGCCTCATTCCTTTGATAATAGCGATTGTGCTATAAAAATTTTAGGTTTAACGTGGCTACCCACATTAGACACCTTTTCATATACTTGCGTTCCTAAGAATAATGCCGCGACAAAAAGAGGCATCCTTTCTGAATTGGCACGCATTTTCGATCCTTTGGGTTTTATAGCCCCTGTATCTTTTTTTGCCAAATACCTTATTCAGTATTTATGGGTATTGGGCATAGATTGGGACCAATCTGTTCCTCAAGAAGTCGAAAATCGTTGGTTGCAATTTCAAAATGAATTACCCACATTAAAGAATATAAGTGTTCCACGAAGAGTAATTTCGAGTGACTACCACTCAGTAGAGCTTCACGGGTTTTGTGATGGGAGCGAGAACGGGTACGCAGACGTGGTCTATTTTCGACTGTTGAGCAAAAATAGGGCTCCTGCTATTTCGCTAGTTTGCACGAAATCTAAGATATCTCCATTAAAGAGAATTTCAGTTCCTCGTTTAGAGCTGTGTGGGGCAGTGCTCTTGTCCAACTTAATTTTGGAAGTTATTAATTGTTACTTGTCTAAACTTGTCTTCGCAGAGATCTATGGTTGATGTGATTCTAAAACCGTTATAGCTTGGATAAAATCCTCCCCTCACAGGTGGAAGACTTTTGTAAGTAACCGTGTTACACATATACAATCAAAAGTTTCTCAAAATATCTGGCATTATATTTCCACTAAAGAGAACCCTGCTGATTGTGCATCTCGTTGGCTACTACCTACCGAGTTGATAAACCACCCCTTATGGGTGGCGGGGCCTCCGTGGCTGCATTCTGAAATACTTCCTTGTAATAAGTTGGAAGTTGTCATTAGTGATTGTTACGACGAATCCAGGCCACTTGCCCTTGTTTCGACACGCACATCCTCAGAAATAGCTACATTACTTTCAAAATTTTCTAATTTTGGTAAAATTAAGAGAATACTAGCGTATTGCTTGAGATTTGCTTTCAATTGGAAGAATTCCGACAATAAACGGCTTCATGATCCCGTTATGTCTGAGCTTAATGATGCTCTTTTGATATTGGTAAAACAAACTCAAGCCGAATATTTTTTCGAGGATATTTCAAACAACATAAATAAAAAACCTGTTTCAAATCAGTTACGACGATTGGTTCCTTTTTTGGATAGTTCAGGTATACTAAGAGTAGGTGGGAGGCTCAAACATGCTGATGTAATTATACGCAAATAATTACAAGCATCCCATGTTGAGTTAATTATTATGGAAACACATTCAGACAATTTTCACCCTGGTTTTCAAACCACTCATTCTCTCATTTTGCAAAACTTTTGGATTCTGAATCCCAAGAGAGCCATTCGCTCTGTTATTGGAAAATGTTTAAGGTGTTTTAGGGTGAATCCTACGTCTAATATACCTCTAATGGCTGATCTTCCTTCATTCCGCGTAAATCAATTAAAGTTTGTGTTTAAATGGGCGGGCCTTTTCTAATAACTTCCAATCGTACTAGAGGTTGTAAGACTTTGAAGGTATACTTATGCCTGTATGCTGTAGCACAAAAGCCTTACATCTTGAAAACACTTCAAATTTGTCTTCAGAGTCATTTTTGGCGGCTTTACAGCGTTTTATCTCCAGACGAGGAAGGGTGGTGAATATCTACAGTGACTGCGGCACCAATTTTGTTGCCAGCGGCACCAATTTTGTTGCCAGCAGCAAATATATTAAAGACCTAATGCAGTCAGCTTTTGAAGTTGAGAAGATTGCATGGAACTTTAATCCTCCTGCCACCCCACATTTTAATGGATTAGCCGAATCAGGAATTAAATCGGTTAAAACTCATTTGGTGCGGATTATAAGAGATCAGATTTTGACTTATGAGGAACTGAACACTATTATAGTACAAATAGAAGCCATGTTAAATTCCAGACCATTGAGTCCAATAAGTTCCGATCCTAACGATTTGAATGCCATAACCCCTAGTCACTTTCTTATATTGGAACCGATCACGGCACTTCCCGATTTTGATTTAACCAGTTGCAAATTAAATACCCTAACGCATTGGCAATTATTGATACGTATGAGTCAGGACTTTTGGAAAAGATGGCGCGATGAGTATTTGCATACTCTGTCTCAGAGATATAAATGGAATACCGCTTCAGATCCACCTAAGATTGATATGCTTGTGGTTCTTAAGAATTAACAATTTCCTCCTTTACGATGGGAACTTGCAAGAGTCGTTAAATTACATACAGGCTCTGATGGGGTTTGCAGGGTAGTAACAGTCAGAACGGCTCGCGGCCTATTTCAGCGCCTGGTGGTAAAACTCTGCCCATTACCTGGTCAGTAGGCATCTCTATTCTCTATGCTTGTTCAGAATGTTTTTTATTAGGATTATAATTTTATATATTTTTTATTTTGTTTTTTTTTTATACAAAATACGCATTAGGTATTTTGGTGGGCGGTAATGTTTGGGACTTACGTTTTATTGTATTGTAATTTTGGGTTATTTAAACGCAACTTGTATATATGTCTTAATTTTGAAGTGTAAATTTCAATTATTAATTGCGCGTGAGAATGGCATTTCCATGGACTTTCGCGCGGTACTGTAAAAGAGAGCAAGAGTGCGCTCTTGATTAAAGGAGGACAGAGATTGAGTAGCCGAAAAATATATGCTGTCGCTGACCGAAAGGAGAGAACGATTTTTGCCGGCAATCAAACCAGAACCAATTATTTTAGTGCCTAAAACCAATGCAGTTTCGGGGTAAGTCCTTTATTGGTTTTGCCATTTATCGATTTTTGATTACTTTTAAAAATACAGTCCACTGATTAGCTCGTACACTGATATATGGGCAAATAAAGTGTTGTATAAAACTTACCAAACAAATCTTCACTATTAGTATTCGCCAAGTCAAATTTTTTCTTCGTATTATTATTGGAACTAACTAGCGTTTCATTCGAATTGTTTTTCTTTGAATTAGTTGGTACAGCTTTTTTCAACCATTCACCTTCATTTTTTGATTTCTTCGTTGATCCAGATTCCAACAGAATTTCATCAAATACTTCATTGTCATTGTATACCTAGAAAAAATTTGTATTAAACAATAGCGTGTTTTTTTTTGTTAGTAGTTTTTACCCTTTTTTTAGTCATCCGTCCAGAACGACTAACATAAACTTCTTGTTGCGAACTTAGAAAATCTTCGTCTTTAAGTGATGAAATTACTGGATTTATGCACGTGCGTGCATCAACGCCTCTAATAGGTTTGCATCTAGGAGCCATAATTGTTGATAAGCTTGTAAAAAAATATGAAAATTAAAAAAAATGTTTTATGAATCAAAATTTGATTTTTGGCCTACCTAGCATAATGTGATATTGACTTAGCCACTGCCATGTGATAATAAGACATCATTTTTACACGACTCTCGCTGTTGGCAGATAAGAATTTTTTGCTATTTTGTATGTTGACAAACTTTAAATTGTGATAAATAACTTTTAAATAATTTTTATCCTGGCTTTCGGGCATATCGTAAAAGCCAATTGGTGTTTTTTTGACGCTCAAAATGGTATCGGATTCTTGGGACTCGTTTTCTAAAATAGTGTTCTCATAAAAATGTTATCCAATATGTTTACATATACAACAATAGGTACTTAAGCAACATTTTTAAAAGTATACCTCCACACGTAGAGAATATGTAATATGTATATCATTATGTAAAGTAAAAAAAAATATCTTTTTGTTAGTCTAATTGTTTAAAAAGGGCCAATATAATCCCAATATTTAAAGCGGGCGATAAACAAAATCCCTCAAACTATAGACCTATAGCCTTGTTGCTGACTCTATCAAAAGTTGTAGAGAAAATAGTAAAAATATGAATCGTTTCATTTTTAAATAAAAAAAAGATTCTTAGTCCCAAGCAATATGGATTTCGAGCTTCCAGGGGGACTTCCGATGCAATATTTGCATTTCTCGAGGAACTTTTCTTAAAACTAAATGACAACGACGTTGCCGCAGCAGTGTTCTGTAATCTCACGAAAGCTTTTGATTGTGTCAGTCACAGAATAATGCTGTGGAAACTGCAGTCCTATGGATTTCGGGGATCCTCTTATAAATGGTTTGAGAGTTATTTGCAAGATAGGACGCAAAGTGTTCGCTTTGGAGGTGATGTTTCTGGACAGTATGGGGTGCCTCAAGGGTCTGTTCTTGGTCCAATATTGTTTTTAATTTATGTTAATGATATTACTGATCTTGGCATCTCGGGGAAATTTACATTGTTTGCGGATGACGCAACTATACTATGGCACAACACTAGTACGGGTTTCTTGAGTGACAAAATAAATAGGGACATAGTTGCTCTCAAGCAGTGGTTTGACGCTAATCACTTAACACCGAATATATCGAAAACTAATGTCATGCATTTTAGGTGCACACTTGAACCTATCAAACTTGATGACATATCCTTGTCGAGCACCAATGAGAATAAATTTCAAGGGCTTCTCATTGATAGCAGACTTAAATTCCAATCACACATAGAAAACCTTAGGAAAAAACTTGCTTCCAACTGCTTTGCAATGAGAGTTCTCTTTGGAGAGCTGGATTCACAGACCATGAGAAATGTATATTTCTCACTCATAGAAAGTCACTTAAGATATGGACTGTGTTTCTGGGGTACATGTTCTGCACAGTTATTTGATAGTGTTTTTGTGCTGTAAAAAAGAGCCATAAAGTATTTGAGTGGAGCTAAAATGAGAGATTCATGTAAACCTTTGTTCATTTTAACACTTCCCAGTCTATTTATTTTAGAGACAGTTTGCCTAGTTCACAAAAAATATAGAAATAGCTTGCAAGCAACAAGTTTGTATAACACGAGGCAAACTTATAATATAATACTGCCAATACCATCTTCGACACAAATTAAAAATTCTATCATATACAATAGTCGAAAATTATTTAATCACTTACCTGTGGAAATAAGACAAGTGGAAAACAACATAGTTATTTATACACCAAGTGAGTTAAATGAATGTTTATTCATGAGAAGAAATTTTAACCCACGAGCCCTAGCGAGTGGGTTAATTTTCTTCGAATGAATGAACATTTTAACTCACGTGATGTATACAAAATTTTATCCCATTTTAGATAGATAGACATACGAAAAATAAGGTAATTAATAGGAATCAAATTATAAAAAGAATTCATATAGCGAGCGCATATCAAATATTGAAACTGGTAGTTGCTAGGGTATAACTAGTTTGTTTGTATTTGTAGCAGATTTTTATACTGGCAGAGTGACTTAAAGACCGAGAGTGAGTTAAAAATATTTTAAGTCACTCAGATGATAAACGTCTACTTACCTTTGTTATTATGCGTTCAATAATGTCATTTTTAAATGTCAAAATGGGATAAAAATATTTAAAGGGATAGTGAAAAGGTTACTAATTGAGAGGGCTTATTATGACTGTACTGAGTTTTGGAATGATAAATTTTGACTGTATCAATTGATTGGCTCTGCCGATACCATTATTATTTTTATCCCATTTTGAGGTTTTAAAATGACATTATTGAACGCATAACAATAAAGGTAAGTAGACGTTAAAAACATTTTAACTCACTCTCAGCATTTTAAGTCACTCTGCCCACCTAAAATTCTGAAACCTCAGTGATTTGAAATAGTTTTAACTCACTCCCGGCATTTTTTAAATTTCCCTCGAAATTTCCACAAAATGGGATAAAATTTTGTAAACATCACGTGAGTTAAAATGTTTATTCATTCGAAGAAAATTAGCCCACTCGCTAAGGCTCGTGGGTTAAACTTTCTTCTCATGAATAAACATTCATTTAACTCACTTGGTGTATAAATAACTATTATTTTTATTTTCATGATTTGACTTTTGAAATTTATGCTTAATGTTTTATTCCTGTGGCACATGTATAATGTATATATACAGTGTGCGCCATAAAGTTGGGTACATATAGGAAAATTCCGAGGAAAATTCTTAAGTATTCCTTTTTTCAAAAAACTTTTTTTGGGGATCGTTTAGGCATGTTCGATAACCAAAAAATCGATTATGACACATGTCATGCGATTATTGGTTGAGCGGGAATTTTGAAAAAAATTGATATTGATGTCGAAAAACGGGTAAATTTGACAAGATATCAAAAAAAATTTATAAGAAAAAGTTGTTCAGAATACAAAAATAACTCCATATGCCGATTTTGAAGCAAATCAGAGAACAAAAATAAAACTACTTATTTTACCCATACCATTAAATGGAAAATCGAAAATATTAATTTTATTTCAAAAATAGATTTATTCAACTAAACTACATAAGTTTGATATCAAACGAATCGATTGTTTTGCGAAATACACACTTGAAGGTCATAAATTAGAAAATATCGTCCGGTCGTGTCGCTATAACTGTACCCATGTCCCTTTTTGCACATTTTCTGGTCATCAGAAAAATAACATGACATGTGTCATAATCGATTTTTTGGTTATCGAACATGCCCTAACGATCCCCAAAAAAAGTTTTTCGAAAAAAGAAATAATTAAGAATTTTCCCATATGTATCCAACTTTATGATGCACACTGTATATATATATATATATATATATATAGATTTTTTAACCGTCTTTTTATGACATTTTAATTTAATTTGTGTGACATAATTATGTGAATGATAGGTAGTTGACTTCGGTGACTACTTCTAAGTTTCATTTTTTTTTGTTTGTTTTTACCTCAGTTTTTACTTTTACAATAGGCTCCTTGCATCAAATTTTTTTATTGCTGATTTCGATAGTCCATGAAAAATAAGACAACACGTGTTTTTTCTTTTTCTTCTTAGTCAAAAATTGACGGAGATACAACAGTATGAAATCTGCCTATGACGTCACTTATCTAATAAATAAGTGACGTTGCACATGCTCAGTATATCTATATATACAAAACTTAATATTTAAAAAACTTCCGGAATAATCATATTTGGGCGAAATAAAAAAAAGTAACGATTTTTTTTATGCTTATTTGATTTGATTTGATCTATTGAAAATTACACCAACTTTCGAGTGGCTATTTCCAAAAAAATTATAGGAGAGTTCAAATAATGAAACATCAACAAACAGTTCCTCTATGTTGTCTCAGTGTGGGAATACCTTTAAGTGACTTTTCAGCATAGCATGAGGTTCTGTGCATTAGGTGCATCTACAAAATTAATATTTAAAAGGGAATCAGACATATAAAAACTGTTTTTTAATTAAGCGCTGATGAAAGGCTCACTAAAAGGTCACTTTACTCAAGTACCTAGTTTGTGAAAATTAGATTAGCCCTCTTGAATCCTTAGTACCATCTATATCACTCCTACCTAAATGGATTTTATGATTATTATTCTTTTCTTCACTTGGCTCCTTCTCTTGTACTACTCGACTCTTTTTAGGGATATCCTTAACAAAACGTTTCCACGATTCATCCTCCTCCTCCACTTGGACTACTTTGTTTGCAGGGCTAGGCTCAGCAAAAACTTCCCAAGGTTCCTTTTCAGATTCCTCAACTTCCTCATCTATTATAATGCTTTTTGATGGAGCTACAACCTTCGAACTTTCAATGGCTTCCAAAAGTTCGTTGGCACTTTCGTTTAGGCTCTTCTCAGCTTCACTGTCAACATCGAAAGATCTTCGTGATTCTTCTTGTAGTGATGCTTCGGAGTTTCTGACTGCGTTGTAGAATTGAACTATGAGCTCTTCATCCATTCCATCTTCGTACATATTAGCATCTACAGAAAATAACATTATGAAGTTGATTTTAGAAAACAGTACTTAAGTGTTCTAATAAAGATATTAATGGAATTTTTGCATTTTGGATGTTAGAAGTATCAGAGACAAAGAACCAGGGGACAAGTCTAAAAAAGGAGGGAAAAATAATTTGAAGAAATATTGGCAAATTTAGCTGTATTTTGTGTTTGTATACATCGGACATAGTTTTCATGGTACAATTTTATTTAAATTAAACAGAAATAAGTGGTTTTAAATGGAAAAAAATAGCTAAAATGGTTTTGTTTGCAAGCAACCTTTTTGTTCTTTCCTAAAGAAAACTACACTTTAATTACCTGTGAGACATTTCTTCATCGCCTCTATATCAACTTCCTGAGACATTTTTGAATTTGCTTTAAATTTGAATGGGTAAAAACACGGTTTTTAGGTATTCAACAGAAAGCGACTTATTTTCCTTTTTTTTAATTTTATCTACAACAACCAACCCGAACCAAACAAGTTTTTTTTTAGGTTAGCATTGACAGATGACAGATGCTGGAACGCACCCTACTTGTTTTTGCTCTGAAGCACTGGAACGCCTATAATCAGCCCGGGCGCTCTAGAGTAGAGCAGCTCAAGAGTGCTTAATGTGCGCCAATGGAAAACGACTCGGGTTTCAATCTTTAAGAAACCTCAAGAACTCGCGACACATTGGAGTAGATCTGGAATGGGTATTTATCGCTTTTTTAGATGTAGAGTGGTGAAATCAAACGCAAACCGTTATACTCTACTGGTTCAGGTAATGTCCTCGGAGTAAACCGAGCAAGATTATTAGTGTTCGGGTTAAGAACGAATTAAAAAGAGGGCCTAACCGAGCTGCTTACGATCAAGCACTTTTCTTACCTGAGTTGAAGTTAGTTTCTCGATCCAATGTTGCCAAATCCTCCTTTCATAAAGCGCCAAATTTAAATAGATTTATATTGCGGATAATGTTACAATAATAATTAACCGTGCGTTCGTTATTTTGGTCTGAGTTCTCCGAGCATGACGTTACCGTTCGTTTATTCAAAAAGTGTACTCGGTGCAGCCTCATTCGCGTTCGTTTATTAAAATTTCTGGCACTTTTATATAGCGTTCAACTGCTCTGTTCCCTCGCTGGTCACGTGATTACGGCTCCGCTCAGCACGCTCTGCTCTTCGAGCAAAATACCGAACGCAAGGTAAAGGTTAATTTCTGTTATACAACAAATAAAGTCTCGCATGATTAGTAGGTAATAAATTAATCCTATTATAGATATTTATGTTATAAGGATCATAATCACGATCATTATGGTATTAGCCGTGAATATTATTAGACGAGGCGTCAGCCGAATCAGATGATAACACGGCGTGTGCCATAATGATTGTTTTTCTACTGAAATTTCATAATACGCTATTAAACGATTAAAATCTGTATCATAATGAACTTCATTACGATACAGATTTTCATTATAATACTCATTTTTAATATTATACAATGTTGATAGATGGCAGCACTAGTTGAGATATTAAACATTTTAAACGGTGATTTTGCGTAAAACAATTATTTTGATAACTATAAAAAAGACTCCGAATTGTTTAAAAGTTACCTTAAGTTTGGGACAAAGAATAATTATTATGGAAATCATGAATGATAAGGAAGAATTTTTACTTTCTTCATTATTATGCATTGTCAATAGATGGCGCCACCAGTTAAAAAAAATTGTTTTTTTTTTTTTCGAATGTTGCATCACTGTTTATAGCTTTTCCATGGTAATTTAGCGAAAAACAGTAATTTTATAAAAAAAAATACTTCAAATTGTTATTAAAAGTTAATACCTTAAGTTTGGGAGAAGGCATTATTATGGAAATATTGAGCGATAACGAAGAATTTTCACTAACACCTCCAGAAATTAAAGAAAGGGCGACAAATGCAGGTAATAATATACTACCGGACAAGTCCAAGAAAATTTACGAAAAATTATATGGACAATTTATGGATTGGAAACACCAAAAACACATCATCCTTCTCAGAAAATGTTTTGATAGTATATTTTGAAGAATTACAACAAAAAATGAAACCTTCAACTGTATGGATTACTCAATTATGAAATCTCTATTCAAAGTTAAGCATAATGTTGACATATCTAAATATCATAAGTTTTATCAATGGCAGTAGAAAAAATAGTGTATGCAACTCTCATGTAATGGCCATTAATACACTCGCATGTTATATATGAAACTCGCCTACGGCTCATTTCGTATCCTACAACATGCTCGTGTATTAATGGCTATCATTACATGATCATTGCATAATATACTGTTATAATCCAAATTTCATACAATATTTTATATTCCAGAAATTGTAAATTATTTTAATCGTTAAATGTTGTCTTCAATAAATTTTTCATATTTTTGCCTACTAAACCTACCTATATTTTTTTCTCATTATAGTACTTAGCACTGTAATGAAATCGCATTAAAGTACTCAATCCAATAAATTATGTCATTTTGACACTACAAATGAGATCCAATAATGTAATTTTGACAGGCCGGAATATAAAAATAGAAAATAAGTAATGGTAATAATAAGATAAAAATAATAATATAATACGGTATATTTTTTCATTGTGAATTTATATTTAGGTACTTATAGTAGTTATTCTAAAGAAAGAAGCGAAAGTATTTAAAACTAAAAATAAAAGGTCGAAGTTCTCTAAAAAAGTATATTAGGTTTTTGTACTAAGTGAAGTCGTAAATATTCATTTTTTTTAAAAGATATTCCACACTCTTCGCATTTGAACATTGTTACTTCACACGCATATTCAATGATCACTTTAACATTAAGTCCATGAACTTCACGTCGATGTCGATTATAATTACTTTGAGTCGAAAATACTTTATCGCATTCAAGACCCAAAAACCGGAACGGAACCGTTTTTTTTAGCGGACCGGAACCAGAACGAAACCCATATTTCATAGAAATGTTGTAGTGCAGGCAGAACCGGAAGCGATATAAATTAATCGGGTCTTACCGGTATTTTTCGGTTTCAAGATTGTAAATTGGGCTGTTTGCTGTCAAGGATAATACTCACTACTACTACAGGATAGCCTATCCTCATAAGGCCTGTGAGGAACAAATCTTAAGCACCCACCACGCCAAATCACCAGTTGTGACGTAGACAGCATGTCCTTTCTCGCCTTGACGTAGGCTGTTTGATGACGTAGGCTGTTTGCACTACAGGTTGTGATTTCGCGGGCTTTTGCTTTATAAATACTTGGTTTTACTACATTAAATAGCATTCTAATGCCTGTTCTCACCAACCATTTTAGGGAAGCCCCCAAACGATAAGTCTTCCTTAAACTGACATTTTATTCCCATGTAAATATGTCATTTTAAGGAATACTTATCGTTAAAACTTTCCTAAAGTGGTTGGTGGAAACGGCCATAAAATAATCATTTTTTAAATCTCGTTTTCATCCTCCTATTTGCTTATTGAGTTAATCGAAATTAAGTAATATTTTTCATCATAAACTTAAATTCTAAACTACGACCGCTAGTGCAAAAAGCTGACCACTCAGTTATGACGTCAGAAATGGTGACAGCTCAATATGGCGGTGGTTACCAAAAACAAGGCCGATAAGCAATCCTTATTAGTCTGTGTATTATCCTTGGTTTGCTGTTTGGTTGTATCGTGATAAATTTAACACTCTATGGGCCGGTTTCTCGATAGTTGTATTCCTTTCATACCTTTGAATATAAAACTACAGGAAGGAGCATAACTTCGAATCTGCGCGACCAAAATATGTGGAGGTTGCATATGGCCGACTCCGACTAGTATTTCCGGTTTGGCAGTGGCGTATATTTATTTAAATATGATTGTCAATATTATGACTCACTTTTTTCTCACTAACTCCAGTACTTATTATCATTTCAAACTGCTAAAATCCATTAAATATCCACTTGAATGAGGACACAGCGAACCACCAAAACAAATGATGAGTCCATACTTGGAGGCTCAAAATGGCCGTTTCCGTCTCTGCGTTGTCTGTAGTGACAGATAGAAAACGCTCCTTCCTGTAGTTTTATATTCAAAGTTTCATACCTATGAGGAGCTCCGGAACAGCTCCGGGGCTTTACGCGCTTATTCCTTTCGAAAAGTGTTTGTTCATTGGTTGCACCTGAGTACTCAAGCCCGAAGTAAACCATTTTAAATGCATGAAAGCACATCTGTTCCTTTCAAATCGGGGCGATTAACACCGGAGCGAGTAGCTCTTGTTTCAAACTCTTGAAAGGACAGCTAATAGCCAGTCACCCCCGGGTTAAGCATAACTCCAGGGTAAACATAGTAACTGGACACGCTTAAAAAAGGCTCGTATTCAATTATTCATAGTCGATGCTCAAGTTGCGTCTTGGTTCAAGTACGACTTGACGCCATATTTACGTTTCCTTACAACACGGAACGATGCTAACAACTATCAAAAATCGGAGCATGAGCCAAGCATGCCGTGGCCAAGCACCCGTCTATGAATAGCGGGCTTAGCCTGGAGTTGAAGCCAACCCGGAGCTGACTCGCTAAAGAAACCGTCCCTATAAAACAGAGCGTTCGAAAGCGCGCATTTCTGAACTCGGCTTGGTTACACCAAGGATATTACACACTACTACAGGATTGCTCATCGGCCTCGATTTTTGGAATCAAGTTCCTAATGATGTTGTACGGTTGCCGACGTCGCCAACGGTCTCGTTAGCGGTTTGCCCCAGCAGTCGTAGTTAGGAATATCCATTTATTTCCTACTGAACTATTATAACCATATAATACCTTGGTTACGATAATCATAAACAGGGTCTTAACTCCCAAGAGAGTTAAGTATTTCTATAACCCCTGCTTATTTACCTTGAATAGGTAAAACTTTGAGAAAAAATAGAAATTTTGGTTTATGGTTTATTTTTATTCCTTTATAAAAATGGACAAAACACAGTAAATTCAATAGGAAATAAAATTATCTATATACCACGGGAATTATCACGTGTTAATACCCACGGGCAATTGGTGTCCCTCGAGCCAAAGGCCCTCAGGACACAAACTTTGCAAACAAAACAATTGTATTATCACTCTCATAATTCCCTTGATACATAAATAACAAAATAACTATCATGATGAAATATATTATTTAATTTTAATTAACATAATAGGCAAGAGGAAGATTCAAACGAGATCTAAACAAGGGTTGTTTTAGAATATTAAATAATGTACTAAAACCAAATATGCATAAAGCAAAAATCAGCGCACTCATAACCTGTGGTGCAAGCATCCTACGTCAAAACGGGAAACGACATGCTGCCTACGTCATCACTGATCGAAAACTCAATAATTTATTATTATTAATAATATTAATTATTGAAGTTGTTGCAGATAGGCAGATAAATCCAATAAAAAATAAACCACAAATTGCAGAAACATACATTTTTTTGTTATGGCCGTTTGCACCCAAGGATAGTACACTACACTAGGCCGAGTTCAGAAATAACACACAGGGTGCGAGT